ATAGAAAGATAGAAAGATAGAAAGATTGAAATAGCGATTAGAAGCATATTAAATATACACCAACAAAACAACAAACTGTCTATGCCATATTGTATTATTAATTTATTAAATGGAATAAAGTCTACGCCTTCAAATATATGTTCCAGATGTTCGATTCCTTTACTTCTCCAACCTGGAAAGTTTAACATATTGTTTTGTTGCAGGATGTCAGGATTGTTCCAGATGGGTGTTTGTCTACATGGGAGTAGTGAGGACTTTGTCATTTTCAGAAATTCTCACCATACTGCCAGAGATGAGCATTACATTTTAAGTCTTAGTTAAAAATCGATACAGCTTCGGGAAATGAAAAATCATAATATTTCAGTGCATTGATATTTTCTTACACCACTTTCACAGACATATAATTAGTCAGTTTCAGATCTGCAGACAGAGTTCCATATTATTTCTGAATAATAATAAGAATTTCTGGTCTCTCAGATCAAATTTATCATTTAGTACACAAAAGAAAAGACCACATTCTTCAAAATGATTTTTACATTCATTGTGTGAATGCTGATACAYCAAGTTTTCAATCTCCTCCTAGTTGTCTTCTAAGCATCATCAATAAAAAGCCAAGTTTTTAGCTGTAAGACTCTGGACRACGCAGTGCATGCTAACAACAGTAAGTGACTTTAAATAGTCTAAAAACAAGCAAATCTCCAACAGTTGGTGAGAAAATGCAGACAAACCCACCTTGACAGTGTCCAGGTCTCCAGCTTTAGCAGCTTCCAGAAGTCTGTAGTCCACGTCTGAGTTTCTCACTGGGACGTTCTCTGCAGAACAGTAAACACACAACATCACTGAGGAGGTGTTTTACAAAGAGCAGTGAAGTTAAAAGACAATACAATTATTAACAAAAAGAAATTAAATCTCTTTCATGTTTTATTTAAAGCTTAGGGATCCTGAACTAAAAAAACCAAACATTCTCTTTTTATTTGGAAAAGCTGCATGAAGGACTCTGATGTAGTCTGTCATTTCAACTTTAGCTCGCTCAAAAGCTATTTACCCACCTCCATCTCTAGTCTGAAAATATCAATATCAACCTTTACAGAACAATTCCAGTTATCCAGCCAACAACGAACAGAAACCAGAACCCGGCACACGTACACACCGACTCATCCCTGCCTCCCACCCACACGGCTGCCCCTCACAAAGCAAAGCCTACCGTTGAGTATTTGCTGAACAGCCTCGTTTCCCATTTGAGCAGCCGTGAAACCCTGCAGTGACACCAGCGAGGCATCTGCCCCGTAGCCCAGCAACAGCCTGCAGGTCTGAAGGTGGCCCGCCAGTGCCGCACGGTGCAGCGCCGTTTGACCCAGCGTGTCGAGGGCGTTCACCTACAAACACAAATATCTCAATGTCATTATAGGATTTATGCACTGGATAAAGATTCCTTTATTTTCTCTACAGGCTTCTGTTTGGGTTATTTATTTAAAAAACAAAAGTTTGAGTCATAAATCTGTTCAGTAGAAACACACTGTATTGCTTATAAATTCAAAAATATGGGATAGCAGAATAAATTGCTTTTGAGTCCAGGTTTGCCACCATAGATATTTAAAAGGACCAGAATAATTGCAACCAGGAAGTACGCTATCAAATCCTGTCTTCTGCACAGTCAAGTCGACCAAGCAACATGTTTCTTCATCAAATTGTTTCTCCGTTCATGTGTGTCTTTTTACTGCTTATAAAAGATGTGTTCCATAAATACTATAAAGCACGTCAGAAGCTGCGTTTCCATTGCAAATGTGCGCAAAACTTTGTAGATATTCTGTTAATGTCGAAAAAACACAGTTTCGCAATTGCAGTGTTTCCATTAAGTAAAAAATACTATTAAGGTCATGTGTGAATACGTTTGTTCTCGTGATAAGTCATTACAAACATGGCGGCAATGGATGTAAACACATAGCATATTGCTATCAGGACACTAGCGCTCATCATCAGCCATCAGAGAAGACGTCGGCATCTTATCGAGGCTTTCCAGCGACAAGCCTCTTTTACTTGGGAGTGGCTACGTATGCTGCGTTTTTGGGAAATTATAGTCAGTGAGTTTGCTACTTTCTTTTACAACTTCGGTGATTTTACTACTACATCTACTTCCTGTTGTCGTCTTTTTCGCCAGTAGAAACAGCCGGTTCTTGATCACGTGACACCCATGATGCGAAAAAAGTGTTTCTATTGCGGTTTTGCGAAATACACCAATTTCCTAGCGCAAACACATTTTTTTGAAAAACGTACATTTTTTTCAAAATTGATGTGTTTCCATTGAGCAAATTTATTATCTAAATTCTAATTGGCGCATTTTCATGGTCAATGGAAACGCAGCTAGTGAAAAYCATAAAAGCTTTTCTGRTGCCACCAGTTTCAATTMCCCATTGGAAGTCTGCCCATTTCTGTGCTCTGGCAAATAAATTCCAACTGCTTCCAACTCTGAGTACTGCCGTTTTCCAATTCTTATTAGAAAAACGCTCCCATAGTTGTGTAACATTTTTAAAAAATCTAACTCTGAAAAAAATAATTAAATAAGCATTTCTGTCTTCTGAAGTAGACAGAAGCAATTTTACCAGAACACACTTGAGGAAAAATGAAATGTGRGCTTTGAAAATGTCAATGTCCTGACATTAATCCATTAAAAATAGGATAGAACCATATTTGAACAGCTTATTTAAAAAGAAGAACATAAACTCACAATATGAGAATAATAAAGATATTCTGTACAGTAGGAAAAAAAAGATAAAAGATAAAATGTCCAACTTTGTGTATTGTTGGAAAAAAAAGACCAAGTTAAAAATGTATCTTTGTTTTGTTGTTTTTTTCCATGCAGCTTGAAACCCCGACAAAGTTTCATATCATAATGTAAAATACAGAAAATGTAGTTGTAACATAAGAATATTTCCTAAAGTATCAAAATCCAAAGAATGTAAAGAAACGCAAACAATGACATTAAAACTAACTTGATTTTTGTTTGTATTCATATTAAATTCAAAATAATTTGAAGAGCTTTCAAGGAAAGTTTAGTTGTGTTTTCTATTTTTTTTTTAAAAATCTAAGTCAGTGATTCCCAACCAGGGGTACATGTACCGCTTGGGGTACACGAGCATATTACAGGGGTTATGTGGAAAAATTTACCAGGTGTGTAAAAAAATAAATAAAAATAGGACTGGGATATGTACGGCCCTATGATTTCCACAATGCGGAAAATGCAGACGGAATCATGGAACTGACACGAAATGGAATCCAGTATAAAATGTGGAATCTCACAGAATTTGCTCATTTGGACGAGTTTCTGATGTTGTTGCTTCATTCACCTGCCATTACCTGGTTTATTTATTGAATTACTTATTCCATTTCAAGGCAACGTTTTTATCTTTGTTTAATTTTAGTTGAAAAGATAAAAATTCCTTAGAATTAATCATTCTAGGCAGTTACATAAATAATTTTCATTTAATAATCAGTTGTTGTACAATATAGTTTTGGAGAACCATCATTACGTTTGACTGAGGGGGTACTAGAGTTATGACAAAATGTCTCAGGGCGTACACAAGTCTAAAACGGTTGGGAACCACTGATCTAAGTAAATACTTTTGAAATGAAGACATAAGAAGATATGAAGATTAGCATTATTTTAAAACATTGTGTTGAAAATATTCTAAAATGTACCTTTGCTCCATGTTTCTGTAGTACCTCCATGATGTCATTATGAGCTCGTTCTGCTGCCACATGTAGAGGAGTCATGAAACTATAGAAAGCAGGGGAGAAAAATAGATTATAAAGCCACTTTTTAACATAAATTGTTACATTTTTAAAAAGCAAAACAAATATAATCCCCCTAAAATGTTTCAAAGTAAACTGAAGCTGCTTCTTGAAATCTTAAATTAGTCATTTTCTTGTTGCCAATCTTCTTCAGCTCAGCTGTGACAACGTTCCTAATTAAAGTTCCAAACCACAGATTAAAGGCTTCTTTAAGTTTGGTTATTAACACTTTTCTTGTTACTTTACTGCAAACTTTGCTTATCCACGTCAGCAAAGCGACTTGTGATTTACACCTTCTTTGGATGAATCTAAAAATGATCTCAGTATTTGTGAGGAAAGAATGCAGGTGAAAATGACACTCACTCCTTATTCTTCTCGTTGACATTGGCACCTTTCCTTAACAGCAGCTCTGTGACCTGTTTCCTCTTGGGGTGAGGCGACGCCACTGCGCAGTGCTAACACACAAACAACACACACGCTGTTAAACAAAACGGCAGTTTCTGTGCCACTGAAGTAAAAGGTGGAGTTATCTGTGCTGTGCTTCTTACCAGTGCGGTTTCATGTGTGTGCGGGTGTTTGAAATTGATGACCTCCAGAGCCAGAGTCTTCTTAGCTTTGGCCATGTCGGCTTCTCGAGCTGCTTGAAGCAACGAGTGGCCTTTGAACTCATCTGAACACACAGACGAGAGTAAAATCTTCAAGATCTCAATTTCAATCAGATCAAAATGAAATTTTGAGCACTTTTCTTTATTTTTTTTTACAATTTTCTTACTAATTCAAAGCTTGGGTGAAAAAAAAAGAGAAAGAATAGGAGCATCTGATGCTTTAGTTGAATGTTACGGAACCCGCGAGGGGACATGGGAGATTTTTCTTTCTTTTGCGTTCTCACGCAATAGTATTGCGTTACCTCGCAACACCTTTTGCGTTCCCTCGAAAAAGTCATTTATCACTGTTGTGCCTGCTGGTTTATTAACAAATTCACATGTTCACCATTAGTGAGTTAATGTACTACTTTAATTCAGCTTCAGAATGAATATATATATATTCATTTATTTCATTCGAACAACAATTAAAACAATACAAATAATAATAATGTTGTGTCAAAATACACACAACACAACATGGTCATATGAAAAGGAGCAGAAAGAAGAAAAAATTCTTGTAACTTCTGCCCCTATTTAAAAAATATATATATCTAAAAAACATACAACATGCAGAAATTAAACTCAACTTTCACAGTATAACTTAAAAATAATCAACAAAACAACATCACAACAGAAATATCAATTTCAACCAATACTTTSTTCATATCTCATTAAAAAAAAACTTTTAAGCATTCTACCAAATGAGTAAATTGTTCCAGCATTTTTAAGGTCATTGTCCAAGTTGTTCCACAGTTTAATTCCTCGAACAGAGGAGCATCTCCCCCTTAAATTTTTTTAATTTTTGATTTCACAAACACTTCAAGTCCCTTTAAATTATAAACGCTATCCCTCTCAACAAAATTGGATTGTATATTAGGTGGCAATACATTTTTATGAGCCTTATACATAATCAACAGAATCCTATAATTTATCAATTCCCAAAATTTCAACAGTTCCAATTGTTTAAACTGAATATTTGCAGGGTGATAGTAGTGTTTTCTTCTTACGATTCTCAATGCACATTTTTGCAAAATAAAAAGTGGATTTGTAAATGTTTTACACGCACTCCCCCAGACCTCAACACAATAGGTCAAATGTGGCACAACAATTGAAAACAAATGTTTATGCAACTCAAGAGTAAAAAAGACAAAAGAACTTCTTGTTTTGTTTGTTTTGTTTCAAAAACATTCAAATCAACATAAAGGAGCTCATTAGAACAACCAAAGACTGAGAAACAGAATTCATGCATTTAAAATAAAACTTCTCATGAAAGAACTCCCTTCAAGGAATTATGATGCAACAAAAACAACAAAATATAAATCTGACTCAATCCATTTTAAGTTTTATGTTTTTTTCTCATAAAAAACAAACCAAATAAAATGTGATATTATGCATCTATAGACATTTGTAAAACACACTGTTTGTTTTTATATCCTTAGTTAAAGGTGGACAACTTTTTTATGAACATGCAGAGGAATAAAACCCAACCTCACTTCAAATAAAACAAGAACATGTAAGAATCTGGAGCTGGTATGAGTATTTCTGTTGGCCTACGTGCTCAAAAACCAATCAAACGTTGGTCTGAACACAAAGAGTAACGCTCTTTTTGCTTTGTTGTCTACACCATTTAATATCAAAAAATCAGTTTCAAACTTTTTAAGCCAAGGGAGCAGAATAAACAATCAAAACTATTTCATCTATTAAATATCTGATGCATTCAGTGCCCAGTGGTTTTTCTTTTAAGTTCAAATAAAAAAAATAAACTTTATCTCTTCAAAGAGCCAAACTTTTTTTTCTATTMAAGTGGTTTTCATCAATAGTCCTTTGAGTTTTCTGAGGGACTTACAACTTTTTTCTTTGGACTTTGGCTATTTTATAATATATTTCACTCCAGTCTTTGTACCTGAACATGACTAACGTGCACTTTGTGCTTAAAAAATTGAGCAAAGTGGACAAGATGAGGACAAGATAAGTGTTAAGCTTTAAAAACTGATCTCCAGCAGATCTGAAAGAGGAGTCTTTGAGAAACAGGTATAAATAAAATCCAGATTCTTTGGAGGCCAAAACACAAAGAACTGACAAACATTTTTTGCACRGTAGTGTAAATGAAAAGCCCACACTCACATGTGAGTCTCTCTTTCAGCTCAGGAGTGGGCGCCATGTCCACGGAGCTTTTGCTGTGGCAGTTGAGCAGGGTGGGGTCGGCGCCGTGGCTCAGCAGCAGAGAGCAAACCTCCACTCGGTTTTTAGACGCCGCTTCGTGCAGAGGGGTGAACTGCCACAGGTCCATGGCATTCACACAWGCTCCGTGCTGAGGGGAGAAAAGACGCAATGAATACAAAAAACACAAAAACAACAACTTGAGCACAGCCATTATTGGTTTATAGCAGTGGTTCCCAACCTGTGGAGTGAGCCCTGCCTACCCCACCCATTTGCATAGAGACCATGCAGGGCAACAGCTCACAGTCCTCGTAGCAACTATTAGATAACAGCTCAACAGAATCTGTCTCATTATCATTTATTTTTAAATAAATTAATAAATTTGATAATTATGTTAATTTCATTCAACATTCATGTAAAACAGCTACATATATACAAGAAAAATATATCTTTTTTAAAGTAATGATGATCTAAACCAGACCTGAAGTCTGTCAATAAAAATATTAAGAAAAAAATTTAAACTTCAAACAATAATAAATATATTTATTATTTGCTACCTGTCATAAATAATAATATATATTTACCAGTCAACACTTAGACAATGTTCACCGTATACCAGGTGATGCTTTAGGATTAAACTTATCTCTAATGACATTAGCTAACCATTTTCTCAACAGGTTAGGTTTGTCTAGTGGAAACCTAAAAATAGTCAAATATATAATATTATTTTACCCTGTGTAAATATTACATAAATCAGAGGCAAAACCAGCTTGTAAAATTTCATTTGTTACATTTTAGCATGATTCAGCAGAGTGCTGCAATCTTTGTAGAAGCTAAAGAAACTAATAAATGCTAGCCAATTCAATAGTTAACATTATGATTACATCAGCTTTAAGTTTATTTTAATCTGTTACATTATTAACTTCAGTCCACATCCACACTGAGGTTAATAAAATAAAATGTGCTTACTAGTGAAATTAGGAATGTTTTCCTGTTTCTCTTCTGTCGGTAGAGCTGGGCGATTTGATCAAAATTTTATATCACGGTATTTTCAACATTTTCACCGGTTTCATGGTATTTGACGGTATTTTTCTTTTCATCACAGCTCAGCTGATAATAAAATGTACAAACCCTGCTTATTGAGTTTTTTTTCTTTTACTGTACCTCTGTCTGTGTCTCTGTTTACCTCCTCTGTGTCTGTTCTTCTCTGACTGGTGGTTGGAGACAGTAGTCATGCATTTTGGTCCAGTCGTGAAGGAGGAGGGTTAAGAAAAGATTATGATCGGGTTTATTGTTTTATGTTATTTATTAAAGCTTATCAGCACGACTCACTTTGCACACCAGTCAATTCCAACTCCACTACAAACTACTTCCTGCAGGCTTTTCACAATAGAACCACGTTAAGTCTCCATCAGCATAACGTCTCCATATTAACTAACCGTGTTAAATCTAACTGTGCACGTCACTGAAGAGGTGTTTACTACATTCAGCGACGGCGAAAACGGGACGTTTTTTTAAACGTTAGTCAATATAAGCAGCGGAATCGCCACCCGCGGCTGCAACTAGCTGCTCCAAACATTATCTCCAAGCATGCTAACGCACATAGCAGTGCAGCAAGGAAAAATGTCCCCCGGGAAACAACAGTTCACTGGCGGCCGCGACGAAACGTTCCTCTATTTAAACTGGAATGTCCGGTATTCAAAAAATTCATATCATAACAAAAATAAAAAACGGTATTCGGTACAAAACGGTATACCGCCCAGCACTAGTACATCTATAACATACAAACCTTGTCTGCTCAGAGGTTGTGAAAATATCAGTTTGTTTTGTGTATAAAAATCACCAAAATAAGCCCATTTGAAATATTAAAACTTAATTGTTCTTTTTTTAAAAATTTTTTCACATTAAAGTTTGGTCACTTTTTATTTTATTCTTTTATTATTTTTGTTAAGGAGATAAAGTTTGATTGTATCATTGGGAGCAGCTTGGCTTGGGAGTAAGAAAGGGGGGCTTTGAGGAAAACAGGTCGGGAACTACTGGTTTATAGTACTGCCTCTATAAAGACTGTGTCAGTGCTTGTACCTTTAGCAGCAACTCAGTAACTTCATAGTGTCCATAAGAGCAGGCGTTATGTAGAGGCACCAGACCACTGAAGGGGGCAAACATAAGCAATACTTAATTAAAAAAATAGAACTTAAGTACAACACAAATTCTTTCCTTCTCTACTAAATCGAATGCTTTCAAGTCTAAAGAAGTGCTTGTGTAATGCTGTGATATCACTTGCAGTTTGGAAATTTATCTTAAAAGTTGAGATATGTTGCTGAGAAAAAAATTAGAATAAACTACTGTGAACTTGGATAGGTTCATATCAGCTCAGTTAGCTTCATTTTATTAAAAGAACCTAAAATGTGTTTGATATACGCACCCCTTGTCCTTGGCGTGAACATCGGCTCCGTGCTGTAGCAACAGCTGAACTATTCTGACCCGATTGTATCCGGCTGCCAGGTGGAGCGGAGTGGACTGGAGACAGGAAGACYCAGAAACAAGAACATTAGGATTAAGGTAAAACGAAATCAAAAGTGGGACAAAATCCTGATAGCCAACAGGTTTATAAGATAGTATGCAAGCCTCCAACCGTGACTTGAAGAAATATAAATTTACTGATATTGAGCCTCTGCAAGGAGGAATGCACCTCTCTATCTCAACTCCATCTATAGACACATTCAATTCTTGTTTTCCTCCATAACAGATGACAAGCTGCACTTCTGAATGCAGTAAAATGGAAATGAGATGAGAAGGTTTTAGCTCCATATTCAAGATTTTATGTACTCGTCCCCAGCAAAGGCCATCCATCCTCAGAGCTAAAGCAGAACTGCAGCAGAAATCCTGCCTACAGGTCATGCTTTAAAAACCTTTAGAGAACAGGGCAATGCTAAAGAGCAACCTGAGAGTAGATCTTCAAAACTGTATTAAATCTGAAGCATGCAGCTTGTAATAAGAAATATATGAATAATTACAGGATGTGCTGCATTTAAGGCACCATCATGTTACAGTTTAGACTTTTTTATCAACAGATCATCAAATCTGATCATCAATAAAACTAAACACATAAAATTAAAAGAAATTGAGCTATTTTGAAGGAACAATGTATTGCAGTTCAAGGAATAAGTTTATAGAATGATCGTGGTATTGATAGTAAAACTTCAAGAATACTTTATATGTTTATTGAATAAATATGATGCTATGCAGTATGTATTGTATCAACATAAACAAGATGGGATGCTGATGCGGTTTTTGTTCTTATTTCAAAGTTTCAGCCTGTAAAACTAATGTATTATGTTGGGAATGCTTATCAAGCATTCTTACAATTGAGATAATTTTTTCTTCTGTACATTTTTTGGCACATATTTCGTTCTGCAATGTCTCTTGGTATTTCAGCAATTAATACTGTTTGAGAAATTTAGCTTATTCTGCCATTTTTTTCTCACTGAAAAGGAATGGAGCCTTCTTCATCATCCTTCAAAACGTTCATTAACATTTACTGTATTTTTACCTTTTGTTCTGGTTGTACTTTTTTATTATGTGCTAATTTCAGCTTTCGTCAGCATCTATTTTGCTAATTTTAACTTATTTCTGTTTTTTTATCTATCATTCCAACCCTTTGGGCTATTTATTTGTTAATTTAAATGTTTTGTGCTTGATTCAGCATTTTTTTTCTCCTAATGTAGGCTTTTAATGCTTCTTCCAGCAGTTTTCTGTGCTTTTAGCTATGTTTGAGCTAATTTAGCTTTTATTCAGTTAAGATTTTTTTTTCAAATCTTTCAGCATTAAGAATTCACACTTTGCTGGAAATGCCAATTATTATAAAAATTAATATGTTTTTTTCCCTCTCGGCTTCTTCTCATTTAATTTATGACTTGTGTTTTGCTGTTAATTGAACATACATTTTTAGTTTATTTTAGCAAACAAACAAATAAAATTCAATTAAATTAAATAAAAAAATAAACAACTGTATAGTTTGGAATCGGTTTTAATATTTCCATTTCCTTGCAGTACAACCACCTTTTGTCTGACATTTAGGCACAACACCACTACAAAACTCTGTATTTGCAGTTGTTGATAAATGTTCAACAATAGCTGCTGTTTTCTAATGAAACTAGCTTAAACTCTACCATGTGTTTTCCATATTGTGCAATGTAATCTTAAGCTTCAGGACATAGTTTTCATTTTCAATTTGCAATCATAAAGTAATCTTCTACCTCAGAGATTTGATGTTTAAATGCTTGATGTGTTTGTAATTGATCTGAACCAAGAGCAGCATCAAAAAGTTAATCACTTGGCAGAATTTCTCATTACTTTTTCAAGCAATCCAACAGACAAACAAACTGAACCAACCATATGTCCTCTCCTTGGAGGAGAAAATAAAGCCTCATATTATGAATGATATTTGATTAGGAGTGTTTGTTGATTTGGTTAAACATTGTATGGTTGAACAACACTGATTTCCTTGGGGAGAGAGAAAACCTCTGCCTGCCATAAGCAAATTGTATGCATAAAAACTGTATGGAAACGCTGCAGAAAATTAGGACGATGCTCAGAGGTAATGGAACATAAACATCATTAAACAGTGAGAACAACAACATATGGCCATGTGTTAACTGTTGTTCCACTTCCAAAGTGGCTGTCCAGCTTCATTTCTTATCAGTTTTTTTTTTCTCTACATTTTCTTTCAGGTGATCAGTTGTGATGAAGAAAATAACGGTGCAAAGCTCATGATGTGGATCAACTCTGGTGACTCTTGGAAACCAAACTGGCAACACTGACTGGCTGAGGGAAACACTTTACTGAGCTCAGGTGAAAAATATGTAAAAAGGTAGTAAAATGTTTTCTTTTTAAGAGAAAAAAAGAGATGTTGTCTTCTAAAAATAAAACAAGTGTGTTAGGGGAAGGTACATAGAGAATATTTTAGTTTCATTTTTATTTTACCAGTTGTACACTAGAGATCAGCAGTGATTTTTCAATCAGTCAACACTTAATTAAAACAAATTGGAAGAAATAATGAAATCAGCATGTTTTGAACTGAGTTTTTATGGGTGCTCGTTTAATCTGATGCTTTTTTTTCCATCCATAAAAAACAGCTGTGATGTTATTACAGTGAGCATGCACATTAAGTTTATTATGTAATACATTCCAGATTATCTGTTGACATTTAGTCAATTTATTATTTGATTTAACTAAACAAACAAACATTTGCATAACACATTGCACATCTGTAACCTTCTTTATATGGTAATCTGCGTGTGCTTTAAAAAAAAAACCCTACACAAGTCACTCAAGTTTGCTATTTTTTTCCCCGTAAATATTAGACCATTAAAAAAAATACCAAAAGTCCTTCCATAAACCAGATGAAGACAACATTCTTGTTCTCATCTCTACACATTCCCCTGCTGACTAGATTTCAGGGAGTGTGTTAAAAATTAAAATATCTTTGATGATCTCTGCTGCTAACTCAGGAGTTCATGCGAGCAGCAGCAGCAGCAGGAGTGAGGCAGTGCTGTGAGGACAGATGGTGCACACGTATTTACAGGATGTGACAGCAGCACTTGGAGGAAGCAGGACAGGGTTTGCAGTTAGTCATCATCCTCATCTCAAATGCAGAATCATTCAGACAGTGCCTGCGCCTGTGTAATTGTCATTTCAAATTGTTAAGAATATAAATAAGCAGTAAAAACAACAACAACAAAAAAAGATGTTTGAAGTATTAATCAACTCCAACGTGCAGCTTAAACCATGAGCAATCACTTGGATAAAACACACGTGAATGTACTGTTGCGTCACCATGATGATGCTGCCAGGGTCAGAGGGGGTAAATTAAGCCCCGCCCCTTCAATCTGTGAGGCACTGGTACATGTGTTTAAATGAAKCTGAAACCACACACACACAAAAAAAGATTACAGCTCTGCCTTTAGTGGTGGGTGATAGTTAAAATTAACCTCCTTTAAAATGTCTGTACTCCACTGCCATTTTATTTTTAACTTCTTTGAGTTTAAGAATATGTAATTGCTTGGAAATAACTGACAGGCATTACTTTATATGTAAATGAAGGAGGAGAAAAAGATTAAATGCCTTCATTCATAAAGTCATACGTACACTTTGGAGTGTCTTCTATTTACAAAAGTGACCAAACTCTGCCAGTGGCAGCGCTGCCAACAGATCAGGATTTGACTGTTTAAACAACTGCCTTATGAAAAATTAGCAAAATATTTCAGCCTAAATGCATTTAGAATTGAAGCAATAGTTCTAGAAAAAAAATAGCTGTGCTATTTAAAACTTGAGTACTCATCTGACTTGTCCTTCTAGCTTGTTTCATGTTAATTTCATTTGCTTTTTATTAGAGTGATTAATTATGCAAACCTAGCGAGGTGCCCCCCAACTTCTAAATACTATCACGAGCCAAGTGTAAAAAGAAATGTTTAAAAAATTCACTAACATATGTTTTATTATTTAACTTACTTTTTGAGTATTAAAAATGTTCCACTAACATTTTATTGTTATTTAGCTCACATTTTACTAAATGTTGAATAGCAATGGCTAGCGGTGGCTAGCTACGGCCATTGTTAATGTTTGTCACAGGATGACGACATCATCCAGGTTATCTGATGCTAACTTCTGCTAACGCTTCTAACACTGTTAAAGATAATGTTTAGAAACCTAAATTAAAAATGTGTTCATAAAAAACAATATGGGTAGTACCTGTGGTCCAGCAGTTTGAAATGCAGCTCAAACACCAGCCATAACTGCAAGTTTGATGTCTCGTAGGGAAGATTTAGATGAATTGGGGTGCTAGCGGCTGCTATTGTCTCAGGATGATTATGTCATTACATGAGTCGACCATCAACAGTGAAGGCTGCGTTCCATTCCAAAATACCTAAATGTTAACTTCAACATTTGACTTTACCATTTAAGCTTTAACCTTTACATTTAGATTTAAACTCTGTCTTCTTCTGATGGGTGTTCTGAACTGTAATTTCATTGTGCTCTGTACGCTGACAATAAAGGTCTATCTTATCT